ATTTCAGTCCCTAATCCATGCTTGTATGCTTGCATTCATCACCCCTTTCATGCCTTGAAGGATTGTTCTTTTATGCCTAAAAATGAGTCATTGTGTATGATACCATGTTTAGGCATCTGAGGCTACCATATCAGTGGGTTTTGGGGTGTATTTTGATGCATAGAAACTCTTTTCTTTTTTTTTTGGTTGCTTAGTTCACGCCATGAGTGCTTGGGGTAGGTGTTGAGCAACGCTCTCTTTTGTGGCCTTGAATCCCTTCCATTTTTGCATCCATTCCCTAGCATGTTTTGGCATCATTCTTGGCATGCTTTTCAGAGTTTAACATGAGTGTTTAATGTCCATGTATATCACCTTTGAGTGTTCTTGAGAGTAGCCCTCCATGCTTGGGTGATGGGCCTTGGTGTGTGCACACTTGCGTGCATAATTTGTCCCCTTTTGCATCATCTTTTGGCCACTGTTTTGGGGTGTGGCTGAGGCTTCCCATTTCGGTTTAAGTCCCTTCTTGTGTATAGTTGCATGTTTGACATATTGCCTCTAATTACGTGTTACATTATACCATGCTTGCATCATATGTTAGGTTGCATCGCATTGTAGCATTGCATACTTGGCACTTTACATTCTTGCATGATAGGTTACCTTGCATTTGGCATGCCTTGTAACTTAGCCTCATGTTGCATATTTGAGCCACGTTGCATTTTTTAGCCATGTTTGTATACATGCATTGCATGGTTTGGTTTGGGGTGTCAAACCAAGCATGAGGGTTGAGGTGTGTTCGTACTCAAAGTGACGAAACATGCCTCAACCCTCGGTCGCCAATGCCCTTGACCCCAACATGATAAGGCATAAGGCACTCATCTCTTTTATGCAAGCATTTACATTAAGTTGCAAACTTAGTGCCTTAGGCCATCATGCATCGAAATACGTGATTGGTGGCCCGAGTACCGAGGGTCACACTCCCATGAGTCCATAGCATGATTGGGAGAGTGGTCACGCATACATTGCTTTGAATTTCCTTGCCATGCACTGTCTGCCCTCTGTTGCTGTCAAAAACAGGTTTCTGCAGGAAGAAATGGCCGGCCGGCCACATACAGTGCCGACCGACCATCAATATCCAGCCGGTGGTGTAACTTTTGGCCGATAAATCCATCCCCATGGCCGGTGAACTTGAATTGTGACCGGTGACCCCCCAGAGCACTCAGAGGGTGATTCAAAATGGGTCTGGGGACTTTCATAATTTTTAGAGGAGCAAGGCAATGTAAACAGAGGCAATAGTGGCATGGCACAGGTTTCCGGGCAGAACGAGTCGAGCATGCATCATCCTAGCATTCCTCGGCGGGGCTGCGGCCATCCTCTTTCTGCATTTAATTTGTTAATTAAATAGAAGATATGTAATATTTAATTAGTTAGAAGGGTTAATTATTTATTTGTTTTGTAATATTTATTCGGACCCTCCGAGTGAGAGCAATTGTGTAATAAGTGTGCGTGAGTGTGTATATGTCTTCCAACCCCACGTCTTTTTATTTACTAGCTTTCAATAGTTAGTTCAGGGCATGTTTCAATTAACATACTTATGATAACATGTTTGCATACATTCATTCGTTCTGCATGTACCAGGCTCGGCACATTATACTAACTGCATTTGTATTTCAATCCCAAATTGAATACGTGTTAGCTGTAGCATTTCACATGTCATTTTAGAATAGCCGAGCCTATTGTAGTTGCATTTCTGCATGTGATACATTAGGCATTTTTGTATAATTAGGACCATGCATGGATTTCTAACATAGCTTAGTTGTTCTTGGCTTCATTTCAGAGTGCCTACGGCCTCAAACCAATACAAAAGATATCCCATCAGAGTTAAGGGGCCAGACGGAAGCAAGCTTTAAAATTTTGTCCAATGAGCTATGCTTACATGGCATATCAAAACATTTCACATTTACTTAATAATAACTCACACCACATATCAGTAGTTAACATCTTGTATACCCAGGATCATTCAAACACATAGTCAGCCATGCCAAAAGCGTATACACATAAATGGTCTATCATGACCAATAGAAGTAGCAAAAGAAATACAAAAGATCATAAGCAAAGCCTCTTGCGGTTTGGATTGAAGAATTTTTCAGTGCGCATAACATAGTAATTCTAGGCTAATAATCGGGATAAGAACACATAACGTTTTCAAAAACGGATATCACGGTTAGTAGAGGCCGATCTTCGGATCGGGCGAGAGGGGGTGCTCATAGCTGACCTTCCCCAATCGTACCCAAGTTCCCGAGCCGAGGCAACTTTGGTGATGACGGACACATGGCCTTAGGCAAACGAGTCAGGGTTTCCTAAATTAACCCATAAAAAATATTTAGGTGGCGACTCTGTATCTGGCAAAGCAGTCCATGTTTGGCACTTCTTTCTAAAAAATCTGTTTTCCAAAAATGATATGCCAGATGTGGACTCTTTGGTGATCTATCAGTCTTGCATTGCACTTTGCAAGATCAGATTAAGAACCGTGACAATTTGAGAGTCCGAACTGTAGTGAGCCCAAATGAACAGAACGAGACTCATCCTCCCGAGGCGTTCGGGGACGTCTACAGTAACCAACCTTCAAGACAATTATCAAAGCTTCAAAGGCGAGTGGCCAACCTTCAAACAATTACTGAAAGTTTCGAAGGCTAGTAACCAACCTTCGAGACAATTCTTGAAGCTTTGAAAACAAGTAGCTAACTTTCAAATCAATTCCCAAAGCTTCGAAGGTGCGTAACCAACCTTCGAAACAATTCTCAAAGCTTCGAATACAAGTAGCCAACTTTCAAAACAATTCCCTAAGCTTCGAAGGTGTATAATCACTTTCAACCATAGATTGTTTGAAACTCAAAATTGTTGTTCATGCAACAGACAGTCCTTCAAAGCTTTCGAAGTCTCAATAAAAAGGACTTTCGCACATGTTTTGATTCATATCAAATAATAATAATAATTACTTCAAAGACATCTTGGAGCCATCTACAACACATGCAAAGACTAAATTTTGGTCTTACCTTAAAGGAAATTAACCAATACCTCCCCAAGTCTAAGCAAATTTAATAATAGATTCATAGATAAAATCCAAAATTAAACCACTCCATAAAATTAATTAAAGTGTTATGTGGTTGTCCATAAAACTTGGAAATTTCATATATTAAAATAAAATAAAATAAAGTTAAATGGCCATTCTTAGTCGAGTTCTACCTTTCAAACGGCTAAGTTGTTCTTTAGTACATCAAAATCATCATAACAATGCTTAAAGAGAATTGTTTTATTAGTCATTTTATCAAAATTAAATTTTGATATGAACCACAAGTCCAAAAATGATTTTGAACACCAAGAATCATAGTATAAGATAGCCTTAAAAATTTAAATAACTTAACTTTTTAAACAATTTCAAAAAATTCATATTCATAAATATTAGATTGTTCATCATTCTTAACCATGTTTGACTTGAGAACATGTTCTTCGGCCACTGGAATTTATCATTTCTTAGCTTGATGGGTTGTTTTTCTATTTTCGCCATTAATGACTTATGAAAATTCTCCATAGTCATATGGGTTTCATCATTTCTTAGCCTGTTGAGTTGTTTTTCTATTTTAACCATTAATGGCTTATGAAAATTCTCCATATTGTTTACATAGTTTGACTCTCTAAGAATGGGTTTTTCAACCTCCCGAGCCTTATATCGAACATCATTTGTAATCATGTTTGGCTCAACAACATGCTTTTTAGTCATGTTATTTTCATAAGTTGGCTCTCTAAAAATATATTTTTTGACCCCCCGAACCATTGATGAGATCAACTCTTTACTTTTGCCATTTTTAACCATAAAAAAATTCTGAAGAAATTCTCCAATTCCGGCCATTAAAGCCGCAGTTAAAGACTTAGTATTGAGAATTGATAAATCATCATTCCAATTTTCATATCAAATTGATAAATTTCTCCAATTAAATTGTATCTTTTTTTTTCCACCAAATAATATTGTAATGGGTAAAAGTTTGTTTCATCAAGAATATAAATCTCTTCTTGAAGATCTAAAAAATTTTGTTTACACCAAATTATTTCATCTAGACTATTTGGAATGGACAAATTCAATTCATTTTTTATTTCTTACACTTGACGTCTTATCGGCCATGCCAAAAAACCATTGGCTTATTTTTTCTATAAAGGAAAATATCATGAATGTGAGTGCGCCAAAAAGACTGAAAATTCTTTATAGATTACATTCAAGCTAATTATTAAGCGATTGCATTTACGGTTCTTTTGCCTTAATGAAAAGGGTTTCGAAATTGCCAAGTATAGAGAAAAAAAATTAAAAGAAGAAGAGAGGGAGACAGAGAAAGATGATTGAGTGAATAATCGAGGTGATTGAGTGAACAATCAAATTAACCATTAATTTATCTCTACTCCTATGTTTCGAAAGGAAGTGCAAAAAATAAAGTGCTAGAAATAAATGACAAGAAAAATAGAAATCAATTGTCTTTGATTTGAGTTGGATGATTACAATGTAGCCATGAAAGGCTATTTATAGGCAAAGACTTGTAGGAAAAAACAACTTAGTAATTACCCTATTCTTCCATCTCCTGCACCTCAGAGTCCATGATCTTTTACTTTATCTCTGTCTCCATAACTTCCTTTAACCTCCACTTCATGCTCCATACTTTCCACTTTGTCCTCCATCAACTTTCTACATGTGTTTAATACTTCATAACTTTTCAAAACCTCCAAATGAGTATGAGAGTGCCGCATGCTCTGTAATTATATAAATAATACTTAATAATAGAAATTACAGATTTATGGTGCCAACAGAGTGTGTGTGTGTGTGTGTGTGTGTACATATTGATAGATCTCTATCTATCTATTTGTGAAGATCTAGTTAATCTAAATCTGTTGTTTGTAAAATCGAGATATTAATGAATAGATTTATCATGATAAATTTATTATTCTTTTTTTTTTTTTTTTTTTGTTGTTGTTTAGTTCTTGGTGTACTAACCTTGCTAATTTATGTGCTTTGGTTCAGAAAGAAGATTAAATGAGAAGATACTCAAAGAGTAGAAAAATAGCAGTTATAAATCCTGATTAATAGTCTCAAGAAACTACAAGTTCATATCAATCTACAAATAAGACATTAAGAAAATTTAAGCAACCTAACATTACTCAATCAGACAAATTGATAACATCTCACCGTTCCATTTAAACAAAACTATCATTGGGCACAAACACAGTTTCTTCACCAGCATATAAAGGATGCCTGTAGGATTCTGTTGTGTATGAATTTATAAGCTTCAGAAAAAGATGGGGAATTTTCGAGATGGCAATGGCTTACCTGTTTCTTCAGCATCTGAGTTGAGGTTATTTCATAAGTGATTTGTGCATCAGCACGTGCATGCATTGCAGCTATCTCTTCAGGGGATGCATTAGCCATCTTCTCACCGATCTCAGCCATCTCCTCTGGACGAGTATGCTTCAACTGTTCAGCAGCATTCCTCAAGTCTTCAGGCCTCATGTTTTTCATGCTTTCAGTAGCCATTCTCATCAAGTCAGGATTAGACATCATCTGAAATGTCAATGGTGCAACATGACCATCAAAAACAAAGTGCAATTCAAATTGAACACACAGGATCAATAGTTGTGTGGAAATTATAACTAAACGAGCAGTCTCAGTGCACGAAGCTAGTGTGGGTCTGGAAGGGCATAAATTATCACATGGGTCAGGAAGACCATGTGGCCGTGTGCCCATCCAATTGTATCTTGTGATTTCTCTACTATTTTCTTGTTTTTAGGGCCATGTAATTATTCTAGCCCCTACTATTGGTTAGGCACACCGCCAATATAAATTCTCAGAAGACAGGATAATTACTCTGGTAGGGGGCCTTATCCCGCATGAAAAAGTTAGCGCTACACTAGAAAAAATAGAACGCTAATAGGCTGTAAAATGAACCAAGCTACCCGAACTCGATTTTGGTTAAAAAGCTTGTTTTATATCAACTTGTAATGTAAACAAGCCAAACCTAAACATATTTTATATTTTGTTAAGTTATCAAGCTAAGCTTGATCACTCTACTATTCGGCCTGAGTTGATTATAAGCACTATGAAAAAAATAAGTCATTTGAACCAAATCGACTCAAATGGTAAACAAATTAAGCTTGAACATATTTTCATGCACGTTGAGTTTTCAAACCAAGCTTTGAAAACCTACTACTCGCTCGACTTTTACGATATGAAAAGCTAAAAAAGGAAAAGAAAGATAGTATTCATGATTTTAGTCATTCAATTTGAACCAATTTCAAATCTAACCTGAAAAACAACCAAATAAGCCACCAAAAAAAAAAAAACTACATATATTCAAATTATAACGAATATTAACATACCCAGAAACATCAGACATTTAATTTATCAAAATTAGATTCAATTGCAGATGGGTTTTCCCAAACTCTTGAATTTACGAACATAATTGAATCGAACACAGAGAAAGGAGGTCAAAAGAGGGTGACCTGTTGTTGAATCCTGGCCATCTCAGCGGGCGACATGCGACTCATCTGCTCCTGGGCGAGTCTCATCAATTCAGGATCCATCATTCCGTTGAACATTCTCGAAGCCCTTTCACGCAATCGATGATCAACAACAACTATTGAATTGCAAATTTGCAATAGATCTTCGTATGTTCGAACGAAGAACCACGGTTTGAATTCGAGGAAACAGACAATTTCGAGAATCAGAGAGAATTTTTTGATTGGGTTTTTTAGATTTCGATTGAGAGAGCATCTAACTTTGGCACATGCAACCAATGTGTATATATATATATACACACGGCCACATGCGATGTGCAATCGCTTTTTGAATTATAATATTAATTTTATATTATTTTTTTTAATAATATACATATAAATCATATGATTAGTAATTATGTACAATGTAACAGTTGATATTAATGTATTTGATAAATGAAGTATATGTACAAATCTTTAAAAAAATATAATATTTACTAATCTTAACTAAAAAATCTGTAAAACAAAAATTCATATAAATTCTGAATTTGGTAACATGAGACTGGAGATCCTGTAAACCCTGCAAAAATATTTATATATATATAACATATATGTAAAGATTAGTTTGCTAATAATATAAATTGATTAAATTAAAATTTTATGTTCTTAAAGTGAGCCATAATTATACATATGCGTACTTTAGCTAATAAAGTACAATAATAACTTTGATTTTTTAATTGACTATTATGAGTAAAGACACAAAAGGTAATTATTGTGTTAATTTTTTATAAACAAAATTAAAAACTTACATTTTAACATAGATTGACATAGTCCAAATCACATGTCACGTTCAACTTTTTTTCTCACCAAAAGTCTCAAAATTTTGACGCCACCCAAAAAAATTAGAGGGAAAATCTTTGGTGGCGAATTTAATTTTTTCTCACCTAAAAGAAGTATTTATTGTCGAAAATAAATTTTGTCACCTATTATTTTTACATTTTTATTATATGTGACAAAATTTTATAATTCGTCACGGATTATCCTTATTTAGTATCGAAATTTATTTTATTCACTACCTTTCGTCATCATAGGTTATTTAGAGAGCTAATTAACTTGTGTTTTGTTTTGAGAGAGAGGAGATAGGAAAACTGATATATAAAAAATAAAAATAAAAATAAAAAGAGGAAAAAGTTAGTAGTCTATTTTTTTTCATTACCGCCAAATATGTCAAAATTTTCCTTTCAAAATTAGTGACAAAATAATTTCCTCACTAAAAAGTCTCACAATATTAAAAATTATTAGTGACAAGAATATATTTCTCACCAAATGTTCTTCAAATATTTAAAATCAAGTTTTCAAAAAAAAATATATATAAAATTATTAGTGATAAAAATATATTCCTCACTAATAATTTTATAATTTGTGACAAAAATTTTTCTCACCAAAAGTCTCAAAGTTTTGGCGCCACCAAACAAGAATTAGCGGGAAAACCTTTGGTGACGAAACTTACTATTTCCTCACCTAAAAAAAAATGTTTGTTGACGAAAATAAATTTCATCACCTATTATTTTTATTTTTTATTATATGTGACAAAATTTTATAATTTGTCACAGATTATTCTTATTTAGTGACGAAATTTATTTTCTTCACTACTTTTCGTCACCATAGGTTACTTTTGTTGTAGTGATTTGAGAAGGTTAAAGCTCACCTATTACCCGTAACTCAAGAAGATCTATGTACGCGGAGATATGCAGACTCAGAATCTACATTAGATGGTGATGACTTCTCCTTGGACAGCAACCAAAGCACTGAGGTTGATTTGTTTGAAGATATAAGAGCATCCATTGAGAAATCCAATATAATGTCCAATATTTGCAAGTCAGTTTGCAAATCAGGAGTTGGAGAAGCCCACAAACGGGAAACCCACTGTAAGTATATTGCAAATTCAGAACAAATCTTATTGTGAATGGAAGAAGAAATTTTTGCCTGTTCATTTTGTATGTGAATTGCAATGTGATTGCATTTAAGGTATCCCAAAGAGATTTAATGGGTAATCAGGCCTTCCGCTATTGTTGCAGCAGGAAATATTGAAACCTCACTTGTCCTAAATTCTTTTCTTACTCTTAGGCTTAGTAAGCATAATATCTTGTGTTTAGGAGGTTGGTACCTAGCCTTAGTGTCTTGTAAAAAATGTTATATGGTCTCCCTTTTTATGCATCTGTTTATCACAAATCTATGCTCAATATCTATGGTTGCTTCTTTTCAGCCTTGAAGAAACTTGATGACATCTCTCGAAATAGGGTATGTGCTATTGATTGTAGTCTTTCATTGTAATTGTTCTAGCATTTATTGAGAAATTAAGTTCTCTTGTATCTAAATATCAGGTGAAATCCACACCAACTTCTAGAAGGCAAAGCGTCTATATGCAAGGATCAAAAAGAGTTAAGGAGGTTGTCCATCCACAAATCGTCCAGGCATGTATAAATCGAAGAAAATGAGATTATATAGTTCCTTTTAGTATTTAGTATGCATAAGTGTATCTCAATTGCTCAAATTGAAAGGCTGCATTATTATTTATTACTTACAAATCACAAGTTTGTCCAACATTTGGTAGTCTAACATGTTGGATATGTAGACACAAGATTGTGTAAGGAAATGAAACTGTAACTCTAAGATATGAATTAACTAACTCAAATTAATTTGATCAATACAGGATGCTGAAAAGAATGGTATGTCAGTAGGACAAAGAAAAAAGATTTCCTTAGGTGCGGACCATGTCAAAATGGGAAATAAAGTCATTAATGCTTCATGCGTGATCAGGACTTCTAGATCCAGAAGAGTTGTTTATTATAAATAAAGGATTTGAGAAGGTTGAAGCTCACCTATTACCCGTAACTCAAGAAGATCTATGTACGCGGAGATATGCAGACTCAGAATCTACATTAGATAGTGATGACTTCTCTTTGGACAGCAACCAAAGCACTGAGGTTGATTTGTTTGAAGAAATAAGAGCACCCATTGAGAAATCCAATAAAATGTCCAATATTTGCAAGTCAGTTTGCAAATCAGGAGTTGGAGAAGCCCACAAACGGGAAACCCACTGTAAGTATATTGCAAATTCAGAACAAATCTTATTGTGAATGGAAGAAGAAATTTTTGCATGTTCATTTTGTATGTGAATTGCAATGTGATTGCATTTAAGGTATCCCAAAGAGATTTAATGGGTAATCAGGCCTTCCGCTATTGTTGCAGCAGGAAATATTGAAACCTCACTTGTCCTAAATTCTTTTCTTTCTCTTAGGCCTAAACATGAAATTTAACAGGGACTTTGAATATTTTGTTAATTACTTTTTTATTTTTCTTTTTGTCCATTTTTTT